CAGCCAGTCTGTTGTGACTACGTCGTTGGCGCAAATCAGCGTAATTGGACCAGGATAGCCTAAGATAGCCCTGTATTTAAACTCATGCACCTACCTGGCTACATCTCACACCCCGCATTTCATCACGTATGGCAGAGAGCTCGATATGATTGGTCGTGCTTAAAACGTTCAGACTGAAGATCCAAGATTCGACGTCGACAATGATTGTGCGACCAATATTCGCACTCTTCGCGAAGTACACGCCAGGGTCGAGGATGCCTTAACGCTCGCATTTCAACGCAATGCGGCTCGCTTTAATGTTGGCAGGAATCCCATTCGTCTTAGCGTGGGTCACACGGTTTGGCGAAGGAACTTTGCTCGCGCTAACCCGGCCGATCAGGGTGGAGGCAAATTTGCGCCCCGCTTCATCCGTGGTCGAGTCAGCAAAGTTATTTCGCCGCAGGTTAGGCTACGAGTTGTGTGACCTGGATTCACCCTGCTCGGGTAATTATCATATAAAGGATATTTTAAAAGAAACCACGGTTGTTCTATACTTCGGAATAATTCTTTGGTATAGTGTGAATTTTTCTTGATCATTTCTATTCGTCGCGTAACAATGGTTTTATTTTAATCGGTCTCATTCAATCAATAATCAGTTTTCATTTTTTTGGGTATGTCATTTAGCCCCTTATTTTAGGGTTGTCACTTATGTTATATTTCAAGGTTGTCAAATTGTATTTTATTTTAAAGTTGCCATTGGTTTTTTTATTTACGGTTGTCAATTCTATAAATTTTAAGAATGTGACTTGCGTGTTATTTTAATGCTAAACCTGGTGTAGTTTACTGCCTTTTTTTATGATTGCATTGACAAGCAATGATTGCAGCAATACTGCTGCGCGTGTTGCATCCTTTTTGGAGACTTTTTTCATACAAAACGATCCCATGCAGAGGTTCGGAACTTGCGACACGATCGCACTCCGACATTTTTGAAAAAGGATTGCGAAAAAAGTATCGTGAGTTTTGAGTACGACGTCAAGGAAAAAGTTCGATTTTTGCTTGGAGTTTTTTGGCAGCTGAAGCTATTAATGTGCTAGTTACTTTATAAGAGAGGTGGCAAAATATCGGCCGCCTGAGTTCTCTACAGATTTACATACCAACGCCTAATTTGGTGCAACGACTTATTCTGGTGACACTCGACCCTCTTTTGACATGATCACCTTGTTTTTATACCACGTTTTAGTTCTAGTATCTCTCGTCACCCATTTCTTTTAAATGTATGTAGGCCGTATAGTGACAAGCCTTCCATCACCTTCATCCATTTCAAAGTTCCAAACCTCACATCCTCTTGTGAGTCTTGTAAATAAGTCATCCCCTTTGGCTCAACCTTTTCGGCACTCATTCCCATCTTGGCGTCGCTGAATTTGTAAAAACAGACACCACAAAACTCATTTTTTTGTTCGGACCGAGACACGGCATCGATATAGCAGTGTTTTCTTACCCCTTTTTTAAAAAATAGGTACACAATCTCTAAAACACCTTATCACGAAGATGGTAGTATTAAAAATACCCTGCACAAATTGGAAAATTGATATGACGTTGTCTCTGTATTCATACCCTAAGGGCTCTTAAACCTAAACACGATACGTTGTGGAATTCTACGACATCGCAACGTGTCATGACGCACGGCACGACGTGGTATCGTAGGAACTCACGGTGCGCTCCTCAGTGCCACATTCATTTGTTATTCAATATTTAAAGATGACAGACGACATTTTTTGACGACAGTTGATTATTTAATAACCCTAGTCGAGGAGCGTCCTGTACTATGGGACAAAACATCAGAGGAATACAAAGTCATCTTTGAATATTTAGTAACAAATGAATGCGGCACTGGGGAGCGCACCGTGAATTTCTACGATACGACGTCCTTTCGAGTGTCGGGACACATTGCGATCTCGTGACGTGAATTTTTACGTAGAATTATCGTAGAATTCCACGATACGTTTATGTGTAAGAGCTCTTACCCTTAACGCGTATTTAACGACTTCGGTCGGTAATCTATTTATTGCCGTTAACATTACCTATATATTTGTCGGTAATTTTACCCACCTATATATTTATATCATTCTCCTAATAGGTATAATAATCTGTGTATTTATATATCACAATGTCATTAACCAATAACTAGGTTATTGATGACATTGTACAAGTAACCCATTGTTGCTTTTATCATCTACACGTGGAACAATAAAGTGCATTTCTCTGTACCTACCTGAACAACAAAGCCTTTGAAGTGTAATCCTAATAAAAAATAATACTTAAGATTAACAGATCACAGTAAGACAGTATTATAAACATAGATAGGTAATTATAATATTTATACCAGTGCAAAGACTAAATATCTTGAGGTCAGGGAGAACAAGTCTGCAAGCAGGGATTACTAATCGATTAATCGGATTTTACCCGAACGCAAAAAGTGACACTTTTTAACCTTTTGACAGCCACTGACTAAAACTAGTTTCGTTCCCTAGACGCCAATACTATGTAGTGATGTGACAGGTTATGAATTTCCACTATAAATTGATTCAATTGTCCCAAGCCAAAGAAGGACACAACTGAACATAATATGCCACTATGAATCCGTACTTAACTAGAATATACAAATAACACTAGGAATATCTTATTTAATATTTATTAATTATTTCAATTGAAAATAAAAGGGTTTCATTGACGCTCTAAGGCGTATTAGCCAAATTGATGCAGACGGTTTAAAAAGCGTTCACGGCGGTCAAAGTTAAAAACAGACATTCGCTCACCTGATGCCCTTCAAACTCGGACGACAGCCATAACCAATATACTTTTATTTTGGCAAAGAGCGTTATGATTTCAACGAAAGTTTCGTACGAAAAGTATATTTTAGTGCAACTATATTGTGATAATAACACATTGAATCCAATACGAAAGTAAAACGATAAACTGCCCAACACGTTCTGTTTTGCACAGACCGAAATCACATACTTTCCCATCTTTAGTTACAATAGTAATGGTCGTAAAATGATCTATTTGCATCACTAGACATATTTAATAACTTCCTTCATCATTGTAAGTTACATCCAGTCGCGCTAAAGGACGCGATAATATAAAACGCGTTCCCAAAATAAATTATAAAAATAAATTTATTTTTTTATTTCAGAGCTATATCGCCAACCACAGACCAAATAAATACTTCGCCAACCATCGCTGTTCAGCGCCGATATCCTGATATGATACGACATGTTTCCCTTATTTGAATTAAATAACTTCGTCTCGGTTGTCCTCCGACTCTCTTTTTTATTCGATCTTATCTACTATTAAATTGCTAAAAAAACTGTCATGACGTATCAGATGCCCAAACACCTTTCCCCTCCACGCTATTTCTTTAATAAACTTCACTTTTCTTACACCAATAACAACAAAATACTTTGTTTAGGTAAAACACTAATCCCATTAAAACGATTGTTCTCCAATCGCTTAGACAAAAAGTCGAATGTTGTCGCAATATTTTTTTTATCTTTTTTATGATACTATGTGATGGCACGAGCAAGTCATACGCCTGATGACGGTAACCGACACGTCTGTCTGTAACAGTTGCAGTGCCACTCAGAGCTTTAAATCGCACAAATCTGAGGGGCACTGCCACTGCACCCTATACCCTGAGTAATTTCACGTAACAGTAATTTAAAAGCGATTTATACGACCCTGCTATATATCCGCAGCGGGTATCTAATTATATACGTATATAACAATTACTTAGTATTATATACAACTGTAAACAAGAGACGTACATAATATTTTACAACTGTGTTTATATTCAAATGAAGCCTAAGATATTTATCACGACATAAAAAGTACGTGACCGTGATAAAAAAGTTAGTCACCAAAATATTGTAGTTCATAATGATTAAACAATTTTAACGATAACTTTTATTTGTGTATACACAGAAGACACGTTTTAAGAAATCGACATGCAAAATGATATGTAGGTATATTATACATATCGTCGGGGATAGTGCAATTATGCGTAACTGGTATTTGATTATGAGTTTCCATTTCAGTAACTTAGTGTTCAAATCAAATCAGGGTATATGTCGTGGCAACCAAATTAGCGTGCTTTACGGGAATCTATTGTTATGAGTCCGTAGACATCAAAAATTAATACTTACTGTGCAAAAATGAAAGTTGTAACCATTGAAATAACAAAGTAATAACGTTAAAACCCTGTACTGTACAAATTTGGTTTGTGCAGATACGCGCCTTTTGCCAAAGCTGCATACGCGGATTTGCACTATCCCCGACGATACAAATAGATTGTTTTCATAAATTAATAAAAAATGTTTTATCGCTTGTAAACGTAAGTACTAAAACTAAAGTAAACATTAGATTTCAATGATAAAATAAATAATAGGTTCGTATATATTCGTATTATTTGAAATACTGAAATTATAAATAGGTACCAAATAAAATTTGATTGTAGAGTAACTAAAATAATGGTGAAGGTAAAATGTAAAAATAAAAATTGTAGCATTAATAGCTAAGGTTAAAGGACATTGGGCAATTACCACAGATGTTAAAAATAATGTTAATTTAAACTTTTACATTTACGTTACAATCAAAATTCCAATCCAAAATCCAGTGTTGCAACATTACATAGAGCCGATATCAATATTCCATTGTGCTAATCGCATTTACATTACAATTTTTGGTCCAACCATTTTAATAGTTTTTAAAGTTCCTTAGCCTTTTTCATTCGTTATTAGATAGAGAAACTATAACGCTCTGGCCACACAGAGGCGGCCGCGGAAGCGTTCCGGGCGCGGGAATTTTTTGGAAATTTTGTAACTTGCGTCATCCGCGCGTTTCAGTGTGACAGGGCTCATAAAAACACATTCATTACAAAAATTCCCGCGCCCGGAACGCTTCCGCGGGCGCCTCTGTGTGGCCAGAGCATTACGGTGAAATAAAAACTGATTTTAAATACTTACATATTTCTATAATGTGGATTCTTAGTTGTACCTCCAGAGTACCCGACGCGAGTGCGTATCACGCCACGAGTAGCGCCAAAGAGGGAGTCGTTGGACCAAAAGCAGCCCATGCCGAAGGTAGCTTTTTTCGTTGGGACATCGACATCATGCAGCAGGGCAGCCTGGGGGTATTAACGGCATATTTTTAAATGAGAAGAACTTAACCTAACTTCTGATATGTGTTTGGTAGTAGTAGGCTACGACCACACCTGTAGTAAGTATAAGTTACAAACTCAAATCTCGAATATAAATCAGAAGACCGGACTGGTCGGGTCAGTTGGTCAGTAGTGTAATCTTCATCATTAATTAGAATTATAGACGAACGATAACGTAAACTATTCTTTTTTTTTAATCGTTCAAAAATCAATAGTTTCAAAAGCAATTGCAACTCTGCGCGTTATCTAACGTGGATAACTTAATTCAACACCAACTACTTTAAACAGTTAACACTAATTACAACTTTTATAGTTAAACAATTGATAGTAGATAATTAAGTGAAGCAGCAAATAAAGCTATTTATGAAAGTTGTAGAGTTTTGTTGTCGTTGTTGCTGCTGCTGTGTTGCAATTATAATATGTGTTGTGCCCATTATTCCATTTTCTACTGCAGCTGCGACACTACTAATTTTCATACAATATTTAGAAGCGCAACACGCGTGTCACTTTTGCAGTCACTAACTAACTAATCGACTATAAAGTAACAATGAATTTTATAAGGTATGTGGGTTCGTTCCTAAAATATCTCAAGACGGCTCTGTTCAGTTAGAAGGAAAATAAAAAAAACTTAGTTCAAGTTCGAACTTTGATCATTCCAATCAATTCGATTACAGACAATTTATCAAATGTTAACTATCCAATTGCTACCAATTGCAAGCTATTGCTTGACGATGCACGTGTCGTTTCATAATTGAACTGTACTGTAACAACACATACCTACACCTCACTTCTAGACATAAATCTCTTTCTGACTGCTGTACTTATTTTAAGTCAAATACAAGTAGCAACCAAAAATTTTGCAATTAGGAAAATAGCACGCTGGTCACTCAGCAAGCATTTTTAGCCGAATTCAAAAAACGAAGAGGTTTTCAATTACAACTTTTATAATTAAATTACAAATATAAAAAAATAATTGCAAAATGTAAAAAGCAGCAAATAAAATTATTTATGAGAGTTGTAGAGTTTTGTTGTCGTAGTTGCTGCTGCTGTGTTGCAGTTATATTATGTGTTGTGTCCGTTATTCTATTTTCTGCAGCAGCCGCGACTCTACTAAATTTCATACAATATTTAAAAGGCGCAATTGCAGGTCATTATTGTGACACGTGAGTCACTTTTGCAGTCACAATTAGTGAACTAAGAATAATTATTGAGCACTACAGACGCGTGGCTGCCGCACTACAGTCGCACCACTAACCGTTTAATTTGAAGGCGCTCTAAAACAAATAACTTACCTCTTAATTTTTTTACATTCGTCATAAAGATAAATATAAATATGACCCTTCATTCCAATAAACGAATATTGTCTAGTCACAATTATCGAGTCAGGCTATCACAAAATGCAAAGGTCAATGGTAACAATGTTATCGCTGTATATAATCCTTCAAAAAGCCCAAGTTATCAGACCCCTTACAAACCGTTAGTTCATGTTATCTCTCTGGTTAAAACGTTATCTAATTGTTATTGTCCAATAATATAACAATGCGCAATTTATTAACACGAGTTTTGATGAATTATAAGAGTCATCCATTATTAATCACAATACTTAAACGTTTTGCGACTAATCGTGATGTTATATCACCATATCGCAGGACTATATTATTAACGTCATACAAAGCAACTTTTGTTCCATTACTTTTAATAATTCATCAGATATTTACAAAAAGTATTTGAATAGACCGCTTTAAACAGTGATAATGCGATATCAAAAGAATAAGCGCTAGCGTAAATAAAAATCCGATGCAAAACGCAGGACGGGTGGTGGGGGTCCTCTGGGAGACACTCACATGTTTGAAGTTACTACCAAATAGAAATCTAAAAAGTGTTAGATAGTACAACAAAAACTTAAAACTTCTTTTTTTTTGGTAAATTTAATATGTGTTTGTCTATTAAAAAGCCATGGAACAAAAGTCGTGCAAGGTAACAATCTTGCATGACTATTTTAATAACCCTCTATAATTTTAAGTAAGACTAGATAGATGAAACACCTCTCTATAATTATCAGGTACGTGTAATTTAAAATCCTAAAAAGAGCATTCATTTTATGAAATGACATTTCTATCTCTCTCTAGGTTTTAGGATCCACTGAAAATCAGCGTCACAGTCTTTACACGGTTGTGACATTAGTTGAGTGGATAATTTTACATACGCCACAGCCGCACACATGACATTTATTCAACAATAGTTGACAGTTTAAAATGTTTTCTACCTAGTTTTTTTATTATTTTCTTTTGCTTTGACTTTTTTATTTCTTTCTGTATATTTTTGTGTTGTGGCGTTGTAATAGATGAATTCTATTTTATTCTTTTGTACGTTATTTGCTATAATTAGAAGTGAAACTTTCTTTCGGATCTAAATCGTATGTATTTGTTTTTTTTTTCAAGCAAAATCAACGTTAAAAAGTCCAAGTCTTCGAACATGCCATAGACACACTTACACATTGAATTAAGTTAAACAAACCCCAGATCCTAGCAAAAGAAGTTCCTTCTCTACCCAGGATGCCACGAAAAGCCAATGAAACAAAAAAAAAACTAATTTCAGCAGGGAAGACAACTGGTTGATGATCCATCTCAGTCAGTCGTAACACTGGGTCCTTTTTTATATAATATCAAGTGACGGGACGAATAAGGTCATGCGCCTGATGATAAGCTACACGCTTATTCATAATTGTTCTAGTACCACTCAGAGTTTTAAATCGCAAAGATCTGAGGGGTGCTTCCACTGCGCTCGTCACCTTGAGACATAAATTTACAAGTCCCACGTGCCCGTAATTTCACCTGTAAAAGGCCTAAAACATTTGTTTGTTTGAAAAAGCAAATATACGCGATTTCGATCCAAAGAAATAGTTTTATATTCATTGTGTAACAATCGCGAAAATCTAAGAATTCGACATTTGCTACAATTATTTGATTGTAAGTTTCATAGATAATTAAGACTAATTTTTACACAAAAATTCTTATTTAGGTGGTTCATAAAATGGCTCTACAATTTCTTTAAAACATATTTGAAATAAAAGGAACTAATCGACCATGTACTAAAAGTAACAATAAATTTTATGATGTTTATGTAGGTTCGTTCATAAAATGTCTCAAGAAAAGAAATTTTGAAAAAGAAAACTTAGTCAAAATTCGAACTTTGGTCATTTCAATCAATCCGATTACAGATAATTTGTCAAATGTTAACTATCCAATTGCTACCAATTGTAAGCTATTGCTTGACGATACACGTCTCGTTTAATAATTGAACTGTACTGTAACAACACACACCTACACCTCACTTCTGAACATAAATCTCTTTCTAACTGACTGTTGTACTTATTTTAAGTCAAAACAAGTATCAATCAAGCACTTTGCGATTAGGAAAATAATAAAGTGGTCACTCAAGAAGCATTTTTAATCCACTTTAAATAAGGAGGAGATTCTCAATTCGACTGCATGTTTGTTTTGTGTGTATGTTACGCGATAACTCCATTTGTGAACCAATTTTGATGATTCTTTTTTTCTTGGAAAGAAGGTGCCTCAGGAGTAGTCCCATTTAATTTGAAGAAAACATTCCGTCTCTAAGGATGGCAAACTAGGGGATGAATCCGGTTTCGCGTACTTCCAGTAACCGATTTCAACAAAACTCGGCATATACTAGTAGATGTAATTCCACGACATTTTGAGGTCGTTTTTTTAGTACTAAGATTATGTGAAATTTATTTTCCGTAAGTATATAGTTACACTGAACTTCCCAAAGTTACTACATATGTTAACCTAATGGAAAAGATCAATTGACTATAAATATTAGTTTGGATTGATTAATTGAAGCCCTACATGCGGGTTGAATTGACATTGAAAGCTTAACTAATATTTTCAACTGACTCTGTGACTATGTAGAAATTTAACAGACATTGTATAAAAAGCTACATGTTGAAGGTGACATTTTAAAACTTGTGATTCAAATAATATTAGTAGAGAGTATAAAAAAAACCAATCTCAAAAGTCATTCATCTCTTATTTTGCCACCTTTAGAAGTGGAATATTTTCTTTAAATTTAAATGAGACCATTAGATCATTAGACCGAGGTACCTACCCTCTGTAAAATCGGTTGGCAAATTTGAGTTATCGCGTAACATACATACAAAAAAAAACATAGAGCCAAATTGAAAACCTGCTACTTTTTTTGAAATCGGTTAAATGGACTGAAAAAGAATGGTTCCTAAGCTGACATATTTTTTTTATGATACGAAGTGACGGGACGAATCATGGACGAATAAGTCGTGTGGCTGGTTAAGCGACACGATTTAAAATCGCAAACATTTGAGGAGCAATGTTATTGCGCCCGTCACCTTGAGACATAAGCAAGTCCCATGAGCCAGTAATGTCACCAGCACCCTACCCTTCAAAACTGGAATGCAGTAATGCCCACATTACCAAGCAGTAAGGTGCCTTAAGGTGGCAGAACTTCCCTGGACAAATTCTTTCACGAGGAGCTCTACTACTACTCGCTGCGTATTTGTCGCTTCGACCATTGTCTACACATCCCCGCCGTACCGTGCTATGACTTTTTGAAGGCGAAGGCATTTGGCTCAATTTACATTGAATGATAGCGAATTTCTGTAACTGTGAAACGCACAAAGTAGATATAGAATTCTCGTGCAGTCTCACGAAATGGGATAATATTACTTGATTTTCAAAGATATAATTGATCTATTGTAAATGTGCATTGTTTTAAATAAACAATATTTCTTATGTTTGATATATATATTAATTGTCCCGTCTATTTTACTTGATCTACGAATAAATTATAAATGAACTACATTCAAGCTAACAGTATCATTAACTTTAAGCAGACTAAATTAATATTTGGTATTCGAAAATAATGTTTGATCCTCTTTTTTATTATTGGTCTTTTCTTTGAATGATTAATGACATTTATAATCAGTGTATCTTTTGATATTGATCTCTTAATAAATCTTGGTTGCTTGGTTGCGGCCTCCATTCAGTAGTGCCCTATTTTTGCATTCAGTTAGGCTAGTATATGAAAAAGCACCGACTAGGGTTGTAGTGAGAAGAAAGAAGGTCCGAGGGTTTTATTTGGGGCATTACAGTTAGGTTAATATGCATGCAGTTATACTATTTACGTGCTAGTGTGATGAATAACATTGTATGTTTCACGGGCGGTATGGTAATTACGAACCTTGACTCTGAAAGCCCTCAGTCTTCGACATCGGGCTTCTATAGAGTCTCGTTCATCCGTAAGGAATTCCTTACTTGCCGCCTTTAATACACAATGTTACTATAAGAGCACAGTTCGATAGAGCTTGAAAAACTGATGAAGACATTTCGACCTTTACGCCAATTAAGTCAGAACTCTCTATTAATCATGATCTCGCAAATACTTATAGATAATACCATTATTTTTTATAAAAGTCACATTTTATTATAGATTACAAAAGGTATGAATGACACAAAAAAGGTGTAGGTACCTAAACCGCATTGTTGCTAAAGGTAAGTATACAAAATTAATTTTAAATTTAGTACGCTGTGATAATTTTAAGCGCTTAGGTACACCTGTACACCAACGACATTTGTGGCATATAATCTGTACAAAAATGTACCCATACATTTTTATAATATCTAAATCGGACATCGTTATAAACATTATAGGTATATTCTGTGAAAGAGTTCGTCTAGGGAAATACTGTCACCTATTCTATTTCTGCCGCTAAGCAGTAATGCGAGCATTACTGCATTCTGGTTTAGAAGGGTATGGGTGCTGGTGAAATTACAAGCACATGGGACTGGTCAACTTATTTCTCAGGGCGACGGGCGTAGTGGAAGTGCCCCTCAGATCTTTCTCATTTAAAGCTCTGAGTGCAACTGTTATGGATAGGCGTGTCGACTTACCACCCGTCATCCTGTCACTTGGTACTATAAAAAACAAGAAAAAAAAGTTAATTGTAAGAAACTTAATCAGATTACAAAACGTGCTTTTGTAATTTTAGTTTGCAACGGTTAAGATTTCCATGACACTATAATCAGTGTAAAAGGCTGATGCAACTACGAGAAATACCGAGTAAGAAGACCACTTTCAAATCCCAGACAGTTAATAATACGTGTGGTACTTAAATACTTATTAAGTATGTACATGCAGACATGTGCGCCTCGCTGCCGCCGACGTTTTTTCCACGGCGCCTATGAATTTGAACGGCGTAAAATAGGCGGGGCGAAAATAGGTTATTTTCTTTGTCAATTAATTAACGCACACACTCAACATAGCCCCGCACTAGGGAAACCCTATGTCACGGACGCCATGGACACGCACATAGACAACCAGAAATTGCACCCAAACTCACGAGAGAAATAAATGTAGGCCATACAAATATTTCTCCCGGCTCGAGAATCGAACCTGGTACCTCTGCGTGGCAGTCCGGCATGGTAACCGTTCGGCCACGGAGGCAGTTGCTATATTCACGTATATTGAAATTACTTTACACGCGAATATTTTGTTAATCCTAGATTTCAATTAAGAGCGTTTACTTTTTTAAAACATAACATTCTTTAAGTTGGTCATTTTTAGTTAAATATATACATGCGAAAGTATAAGAAATTTGGTACATGAATACAAATGGCTTTCTGTAATAGTAGTCTACATAAAATATCTAATTCACCAGTAAGGTGGTTTAAAAAAAAAGAGACGTGTCTGCCGTGCAAAATTGACATATCATAGTAGTCTATTTTTTCCCGTCCTCTTAAGGCGTGCAGTGAGAACCATGCTTAAGAGGATGGAACCATTTCACTGACAAATCAATGAATTTTTTTTAATTAATGAAAAGCTTTTCATTGGTTAAAATAATCACATGACGGTGTCCCATTCACAATACAATTTAGCATTTTCTGAACATTATAATCTCTATAATAAAAGTCAAAGAAGTCTAAAAATTATTTAAAAAAATATTCTCCCTCATTATTTTAATTATTTTTTATAGCTTATGACACTCCCACAATCAAGGCGAATCGAACGACACCTCTATGTCAAAATCCACCAAACCCTTTAGGCTGTATAGCGTGAAAAAGAAATAGACATGCATACATACACTTGAAAAACATAACCCTCCCGCATTCAGGTAAAAAGGAACTATTTCTACTCTACTACTACTTCTGATAAGCAGTGAAATGTTAATTTAACCGCCGCTGATGTTTTAACGATTGGTCCACACGTCTCGTACATAGCCAGACAGGTGACCAAACCAACGAAGGTCATTATGTTGAAGCGTTAGAGCATTTGCGCACTACGTCCGATTCATAACAGTTACGAGGCTTGAGTGTAAAATTTGTAATCATACAAACCGCGTTTGCGTTAAAATTTTTATTTAGATCTTAATTATATGTTTGTAAAGTTTAAATTAAAATCTTAACGCAAACGCGATTGTTAAGTTTACATATATTTGAAAACTTAGACTAAGCTTTTGTCCGTCACTGACAAAAACTAGTTCCGTTTCATATACGCCAAGCCTATATAGTGAAGTGACATGTTATGAATTTCCACCTTATATCACTTCAATTCTCCTAAATCAAAGAGGAACATAACTGAACATAAATGCAACTATGAATCCATACTTAACTAGGGTACAGATAACACAAGGAATATCTTAATATTTATTTATTAATTTCAATTGAAAATTAAGGGGTCTCATTGACGTTTTAAGGCGTCATTGGCGTATCAGCCAAGTTAATATAAGACGCTTTAAAGCGTCCACGGCGGTCAAAGGGGTAAGGCCTCCGAATCTGAGAAATGGCGGTCCGAAATGTCACAGGGATGTGTTAATAAGCCTTGGTTATTTATTAGGTGGAACGCAATTTAGTCCAGGTCAATATAATAAACAATTCCTAGAATATTTGTAGGTTATCGGTCTTACAATGACCACTACAGCTGACACTATAAAGAGTAAAGAGCACAAAACACCATGGAACACACAAGTAATGTTATTTAGAAACGAATTTCATAAATAATTAAAATCCTTATAAAAGTGTAATTAAAAGTGAATTACAATTATGACAAAACACTTCACTTAAGTAGAATAGTCAAAATGTAGAGAAAATAGTTAATTAAGGTTAGCAATGTTAGTGTTCTGTAGAACAAAACATAATATTTTAAATTGTACCAGAATGACACAATTTTTACGTCAACAAAAAGTTGGGAATACCAAAGTATACTTGCATACATGCAAGTGACATATTTACTTCCATAATATTAAAATCTCTTATAGTAAAACAATTTTCAAAATAACTTTCATGAACATTGGACTTTACTTACTTTACGTCTACACTTTCACAAAGTTTGATCAAATTAGTAAAAAAGGAAAATAAATGAAAATGCTCACATTCACCGGTGGCTTCATCGTCCAGAATTTCCTTATTACGTTCAGCATGCACAAAGAAGGTAACCGGCAGCTGTCCTCCTAAGTCTTGAATGAAAAAAATACAAAATTGTTTTTCTTTTATAAATTGTAGCGTAGTTAAGATCGTGAGGGAATGCAGACAGAGTGGGCCGCGACACGTCTACCAGCTGTGGCGGTCCGGCAAACACTGCGGATGATCAGTAATTTAAATTAATGGAAGAAGTGTTTCCATTTCAACGCTTACACTTAGTAGCACTGTGTCGTTGCGATGATAATTTCGATAGAACGATGGAGAAATACACAGACATATATTATCTAGATATGTCTGTGGAGAAATACGATGCACACTGTACTCCAATCCAGTACACTCCTATTTTTTGAGACATACATGTACCTACTTTGTAACTTATCTTTGGTGTAGGGCCCTTCCCTTGTAATTACGTAGAGACGTACATTCGTACTTATAAAGGTTTCTAGAAAACTCTACTGTAAATTTTCAGTGAATACAATATAAAACGAAATTTTGTCCATACTGCCACTCACTATTATTTATTATGTAGGGAGTGTCTTGCCTACAACATTTAAACACACATGGTATTGGTGTACAAGGTTTCATGTAGTTGGAAAACACCACGTTTCTTGGGCATGCGCACAGTCAGACATCGTTGCGTGACATAGGTACAACTCTCGTGACGTAATCAACCTTGCCCGCCAAAGCGTCTGTATGGCGCGCGCCGTCTACTACCCGGTGTTTGCTAAATGACGTCACGCAAAGATAACCATTAAAATTACGCACAACATACCATTTCGATTTGCAGAAATACTGTTTACTCCTAACGTCAAATTTTACTTTAATACTTTTCTCTTTCCAGATGGCTCAAGAAACCGGTTCGATATGATTCGTTTTGCTAGAGATAATTTATATAAGTTTTTACGCATGAATGTAAATGTTGATAGAGCGATGAGTCAGATTAATTACGTTCACAAAAGCTATTGAGTTTTATTATTTCTAGTGTACAAACCATTTGTTGAGTATTATATTTAGATTCTATGGTTTTTTGAGACTTAAAGGCTCCAAATTATGATTTGAAAAGCGTAATTTTGATATTAGATTTTCTATTACCTAATTTATAATTTTTGTTGCAATTTTATTGGAAGATCGTTCACAAAAAAAAAATACGCCGAGAATAGTATATAAGTTACGTTAGATCAATAATGATAGAACATTCTTATCTTATGTAGGTAGAGTTTGAAATATTACTAACAATAAGTACCAAACGTCTCTTTAATTTTAGTTTTTCGTCCTCTAAATTCCGTCATTGGCGCACATGAACCGAAATAGTGCCGTAACTCAAAATTGCGAAATTGAAAAGACGCAATTTGAAAATAAAATAAAAATACTGAATGAATCTTATTGCGAATAATGTGATTATTTTTATTTATACATAATACTTATATATATAGTTTTATTCATTATTTGTTATTTGTGTCTTTTATTACAATTAATTTACAATAATAGTTCTAAAATATTATGCATTGATAAAGTATTTTTAAACAGGTGCCTACATAAATCGTCTATATTACAACCAAAGTAAATAATCATTCGTCGTTAGGTATTTGAAAGTTGGTGGAACAGATAAAAACAAAGTATTTTTCGCTTCTTTGGTCGTAGTTAGTTGCTCATTTATCTACCAGTGACTGGTTGGTAGTATAGCGAGATAAGATATTATAAATAAATAGGTATGTCAACACAAACTCACTACTTCCCTGTTGAACAATTTTTGTCTGTCCTACTTCTTTGCCACCTTACCTATTTCTGCCTTGTGTAGAGACTCAACCTCAACTTTGGGCGATACATCGAGTGCTTGGCAAAAACTGCTGCCAGAAAACTAGGCATACTTTACAAGGTCACACGGTACTTCACACCTGAACAGCTTTTAAATCTGTATATAGCACAAGTTCGATCCTGTATGGAGTACTGCTGCCACCTTTGGGACGGCTCTGCCCATTACCAGTTAGCTGTCTTGGACTCGGTGGAGCGAAAAGCAAAGAGACTTATTGACGGACTATATGACGGAGTTGAAGTTACAAAATCTCGACCATCGCAGAAAAGTAGCCTGCTTATTTGTTTTTTTTTATCGGATACATTTCGGGGAGTGAGCGCAGGAACTTTTCAATTTGGTTCCGCCCTCACCGTTCCTCCTTCGGTCGACTAGTAGATCCGGAGCACTCCATTCTTATGTCGTTGATATTCCACCTATTCGCACTAAGCGCTTTGCTTCCTCCTTTCTGATGCGTACGGCAAAGGAATGGAATGATCTATTACGAGGCATTTGTATTTCCCGAAAAGTACAATTTGGGGCTATTCAAGGCTAGAGTGAATAGGCATTTTTTAGACAAACGCGTCCCATCGGTCACGAGATTGTGGCCAAGCGTGTGTCTATTACATATTAAAAAAAGTCTTAACTAGCAGAGTTGTGAAATTTCACATTAAGTACCTACACAATTTGTGTCATGTAGTTTCATTATGACTTTCGTGTGATATAAGCTCTTTTGACGTTGATTTTGTTGTTATTGACTTTAGGGCTTTATTTTAAAAAGATTAAGAAGTCATGTCTCTCAGAGGTCGCATTTTAGGTTAACGTACTCTAGCCATCCTGCAGACGATCCTATAGAACTGTAGGTATGTACATCAAACACTAAGATGATCTGTAAAATATATTATCGAAGAACTAATTCGGTTGCCCTTCAATTGTGATTGTAAAAATACATAAGAAACAAAACTAGTTAGACAGGATATATCATAAAAAGTCGGACAACTTTATCAAAACAATGATTTTAAAATCGCGAAATAAATTTGGGTTTCCATACAATCTGATAGACCGCGCAAATTTTGTATGGGCAACTGTTACTGCAAGTTGAAAAAAGATTTTTAATAAAAAAAAGTGCGCATTTGATTTTTTTTAAATCTCCGTGGTTGAGTGGCTTGCATACCGGTTTTCATGGTGTCGCCATCTCTGAGGTCTCAGGTTCGATCTTCGGCCAGGTCAATGTAGAAAGTAGTTTTTCTATATTGTCTCGGGTTTGGATGTTTAATTGTGGTACCATCGTAGTTTCCGATTTCGATAACACAAGTGCTGTATTTACTTACTGTGGTATCAGAGCAACGTTATATGTGATGTTGTCTAATATTTATTTCATCTCACTTGATGGAAAGTGACGATGAGGTCGACGAAGCAGCACGCACACCTAAACAATGCCTATTCACTCCCGTCTTGAAAAGGCCCAAGTTACAGCTTGGGAATAAGTATGCAGGCAGGGAACTACACTTCATAGCCAATCGCATATAAATTGTAATCGTGAATAATCTACGAACACTAGCTATTTATTAGTTACAGCAGTTAGGTTTTATTATTAGTACAATAATGAAGAGGCCGGGAAGTAAGGGATTGCGGGACGAGTATGTGTTTGTATTAATACGCTCTCCGCCGAGGCTTATATAGGTAGTGATTTTCTCAAACAAAGTGAGGAAATTATAAATGACTAATAATAGTAATATAATAAAAAAAGTAAAAAAAATATTATAATTTGACATGTTAGGACGAATAACTGTTAAAAGAAAATGTTCTTATTGTTTTTTTGAACATTGAACTTCTGATGACGTAGTTGAATGTGCATTTTCGATGATGATCTTCTCACTAGAACTCATTGCGACAAAAACCCAAGAAGGCAAAAAACAGAAAAGAATACCAAAGCACTTCTGTTTATTTTATCACCTTTTTTTTAAGCGGTACAGGCTGTACGAGCTGTTCTTATGCCGGTTTGCATTTTTTTTGTTATAATACCCACGTAACGCGACGATCAAGTTATGCGCGTAGTGGTAAGCGACACGCCTATCCATATCAGTTGCAGTGCCACTCGGAGCTTTAAATCGCAAAGATCTTAGGGGTACTGCCTAAGTTAACAAGTCTGTAATTTCATCTCAATTTCTTCACTTACCTAGTTCATCGTTTACCTTTACAATAGATTTAAAAGTTTAAGGCAACGGACTACAATTTTGCTATTATTATCTCTCTTTTTTTTTCATATTTATTAGTACAATTTCTTCAAATGATTTTGCTATTATTATCTTTTCTCTTTTTTTTGTTTTATTCTAATTGAAAGAATAGTGGACCTTGTTGTTTCCCTTGTAAGGTGGGTTGTCCACGACCGCGCGGAGGAACACTGGTTCTCATGTTACAGGTTACCCTACTTTAAGAGTCAGGGCTCTCATCTTGTATTGTAATAACCGTACTTTATATTTATGTTGTAAGCAAAAAAAATTGAAAATAAATATTCTTATTAATGGATTTTCATACTTCTTCGCAAGACTTGGCTGGGAAGAAAGTCGCTTAGTCAAATTACAAACTTTGCGTGTTCGTTTTTTGAAACTAAAGCAAACATTCCCGAGCATGTTTGAGATAATTTCTGCTCAAACATCTAAGCCTGTCGTATGAAATATCGAAATCCTAACAGAAGGGGCACACAAACTAGCATACCTCTAAATGATTATCACTAGTAACAGGTTTCTTACCACGGTCCGAGTCCGAGTCAACCCGTGACCATGGAGCGTGCAACCGTTCCGAAATATCGGGAAAATAAAAAGAAGTTATACCGTGGTAAGAAACCTGTTACTAGTGATAATCATTTAGTGAATAACCACGAAAGTCTTAAAATCTATATAGCATACCTCTGTTTTTATAGTTCAATAGGCGCTTAAAATAAACGTTTGTTGTCCTTGTTTTGTCAGCGTTACTGACCCTTTATTATCTATTTGTAGGTTCTTAAATGACTTGCTGTGAATAGTTTTCTAACGATAGTGGAATGACAAGTCGTAAAAATAAACACCACCCACATCTACTTAATTCTACATTTTGCTGCTGGACGAAGATATTTCTCGAAAGATCTAGATTTTCTCAGTTTGGTTCTAGGTCTTCCAATTTTCTTTTTTTACACAAACGTAATGTAAACAAATTATACGACAAAAACAAATCATGTATTATGTTAATAACAATGTTAGTGAACAAAAGCGAGTTTATGTCATATAGATTTTTTTCTAACATTAGGGTACAAAAGCGAGTTTATGCCATATATTTTTTCAACTAACCTTTGCAAGAAATATTCTATGTCCTCAGAGAAATTGCTGAACCGTTAAACTTCGGGAATTAA